ATCTATGTGTACGTATGTGCACGTGTGTCGATTGCACATACTTTGGAGGGCCAGTATCGCCCCCTTGTCATCTCTGCCAAATAATTGATTCCATGCGCGCACACTCGTCTACCTTTAAAGATCATTCCTCAACAACCCTTTGCAGCAAATGCCGAAAAGACCACGCGCGCGCACATGTCGAAATCCGAGCGAACACACGAATTACGCCAGCATCCCAGCGTAGAAACAATTCAACACAAACTCCATAGATGTTCCAATCTAACATACTGCAGGTGTTCTGTCCGCGCGCACTTGCTGAAATCAGGATAAAACCACATGGTTTTGGCAATCTCGCCTAACAGCCGCATTATCATTCCGCCGCGCGGTGCATCAGCGTTGGTGCAGGATGCGCCCAGTGCACGAATCCGTATCAAGTAGTATCTGCGGGCTTCATGCGCGCGCCGCCACTCGCGCGTGTCATAATCCTGCCAAAACTACCGGTGTTCGAAGAATTTCAAAATAGAGTTTCCAAGACTTTTGCATCACATAAATGCTTGCCAAACAGAAATTGACCGGGTTTCGTTAATTTCTGCTCGCGCCCACCCTCATCAGCGCCATCGTGTCATTGCCGTGATCGTCATCGTCAGTCGCCGCCATTGTTATCATCATCACAATCACCTTCACCACCAGCAAGTGGACATCATCGTTGTTATCATCGTCACCAGCCTCGGCGCCGGCATTGGCCTTGCCGTCGTCGTCATCATCATTGCCACCACTATCGGTATTACCATCATCGTTGCCGCCGCTGTCAACGTCATCAAGACATCACGCCCGCCCGAATCACCGACACGCACTGGAGTGCCCGCGCGCCAGTGCGGTCTTGGAGACGCGCTGGGAAGTTTCCATCGGCAGGCGCCATCGCGGCCACATCAGCTGTGCCAAACCAGCTGATCGATCTGCGCGCGGGCTTGCGCTCGCCCGTTTGGCTGTAGAGAGACGCCAGCAAGCCCCAATCAGGAACCATAATCGTGGCCGATTGGTTATCAAACAGGTGGCGAGCGGGTGGGTGAGATGTTTGCACGAGCAGTGGAGTTGACGAGCCTACGTCGCAGAATTTGAACCACACAGCGTGTACCACGCGGCTTGCACCACAGAGCCAGCATCACATCTGGAACGTACGGTGCGAGACATGCTGCCCTCGGGGATCCGCAGAGCGCAAGGGGCACTGTGAGATCAACCGCGCTGTTGGGCAACTCCTCCTCCTCCCTCCTCCTCCTCCTCCCTCCTCCTCCTCCTCCTCCTCCTCCTCCTCCTCCTCCCTCCCTCCTCCCTCCTCCCTCCTCCCTCCTCCCTCCTCCCTCCTCCCTCCTCCCTCCTCCTCCTCCTCCCTCCTCCCTCCTTCTCCTCCCTCCTCCTCCTTCTCCTCCTCCTCCTCCTCCTCTCTCCTCCCCTCCTCCTCCTCCTCCTCCTCATCATCATCATCCTCCTCCTCCTCCCTCCTCCTCCTCCTCCTCCTCCTCCTCCTCCTCCTCCTCCTTCTCCTCCTCCTCCTCCCTCCTCTCCTCCTCCTCCCCTCCTCCTCCTCCTCTCCTCCTCCTCCTCCTCCTCCCTCTCCTCCTTTTCCTCCTCCTCCTCCTCCTCCTCCCTCCTCCTCCCTCCTCCTCCCTCCTCCTCCTCCTCCTCCTCCTCCTCCTCCTCCTCCTCCTCCTCCTCCTCTCCTCCTCCCTCCTCCTCCTCCTCCTCCTCCTCCTCCTCCTCCTCCTCTCCTCCTCCTCCTCCTCCTCCTCCTCCTCCTCCTCCTCCTCCTCCTCCTCCCTCCTCCTCCTCCTCCTCCCCTCCTCCTCCTCCCCCCTCTCTCTCCTCCTCCTCCTCCTCCTCCTCCTCCTCCTCCTCTCCTCCTCCCCTCCTCCTCCCCCCCTCCTCCTCCTCCTCCCTCCTCCCTCCTCCTCCTCCTCCTCCCTCCGCCACTGAGGGTATCTGCTCGCTGGGATGCCAGGCACGGCAGGTTCTCGTCGCGTCGACTGGCGGCGACCCCGCCGCCGGCGTTCGACACGGAGCGCCGGCGCCGACCCGGAACCAGCCGATGCTGAGCGCTCGGACGCTGCGGAAGCGGCCGGAGGAGGAGGAGGAGGAGGAGGAGGAGGACGAGGAGGGAGGAGGGAGGAAGGAGGAGGGAGGAGGGAGGAGGGAGGAGGGAGGAGGAGGAGGAGGAGGGAGGAGGGAGGAGGAGGAGGAGGAGGAGGAGGAGGAGGAGGAGGAGGAGGAGGGAGGAGGAGGAGCCAACTCCTGGGTCGACACGACGCAGAGTTGTCGTCTATAGAAGGCCGCAGGCTCCCCGTCGTGGTGCTGCGTTCCACGTCGGTTTCCCCTCGCCTGGTCTTCCCCGGTGGTGCAGCCATAGAGCTTCGTAGTGTGAGTGCGGCTGCCCTGGCCTGGTCTACACACGGGTGCTTGAGCTTCCTCTCTCTCTCTGTCTATGCGTTTGAGGGTTCTCTCTCTCTCTCTATTTCTCTTGTTATTGTTCTCTCTCTCTCTCTCGTTCTCTCTCTCTCTCTCTGTTGTTATCTCCGTCTCGAGACCTCTCTCTCTCTCGTTATTCCTCGCTCTCGCTCTCCCTCTCTCTCTCTCTGTATATCCCCCTTTATATGTTGTCACATCGTCCTCTCTATATATATATATATATATATATATGTGTATATCCCATGTCGCTCTCTCTCCCTCTCTCTCGTTCCTTCTCTCTCTCTCTCTCTCACATCATTCATCTCTCTCTCTCTCTCTCTATCGCTTTTTGTTTTTCTCTCTCTCTCTCTCTCTATATATATGTATCCCACTCTTTTGATGTTTCTCTGCATGCTTATATGTTAGCCTCTCTTTCTCTCTCTCTCTCTCTCTCTCTCTCCCTCTCACTCTCTCTCTCTCTCTCTCTTTGTCTCTCTCTCTCTCTCTCTGTCTCCCTTTCTCTCTCCCTCTCTCTCTCTCTATCGTTCACTCTCGTTTTCTCTCTTTTTCTCTCTGCCTCACTCTCGCTCTCTCTTCTTCCCCTATCTCTCTCTCTCTCTCTCTCTCTTTATCGCTCTCTCCCTCTGTCTCTCTCTCTCTCTCTCTTTCTCTCTCTCTCTCTCACACTCTCTATCTCGCTATTTTCGTGATTGGTCTCTCCTTCTTTCTCTATGTCTCTCTGTTGTTATCTCCGTATGTATCGTTCCCTCGCTCTCCCTCGTTGTCCCTCTCTCTCTCTCTCCCCCCCTTCTCTGTCCTCCCATATTCCTCTCTCTTTCCATAACTGTCGTTTGTTTGCTTCGTTCTCTCTCTCTCGCTCGTTCTCTCTCTCTCTCTCTTTCTCTCTGTCTCTCTCTCTTTCTGTCTTTCTCTCTTTCATTCTTTTAATACGTAGATATAAGTATCTCTCTCTCTCTCTCTTTCTCCTCGCCCCGTCGTTCTCTCTCTCTCTCTCTCTCTCTTCCTATAGCTCTCCCTCTCTCTCTCTCTCTCGCTTTATCTCTCGCTCTCCCTCTCTCTCCCTCTATTTCACTCTTTCGTTGTTTCTCTCTATAGTTCTCTCTCTGTCTCTCTCTCTCTCTCTCTTTCTCCCGCTCGCTTGCTCTCTCTCTCTCTCTCTCTCGCTCTCTCTCTCTCTCTTTCTCTCTTGCTCTCTCTCTCTCTCTCTGTTCTCGCTCTCTCTCTCTCCTTCACATTCGTTACCTCTCTCTCTCACTCACTCTGTCTTACTCTCGCTCTCTCCCTCTTCCCCCCCATGTCTCTCTCTCTCTCTCTCTCTCGCTCTCTCGCTCTATCTCTCTCTGTTTCGCCTCTTCCTCCTCATGCGTATCCACTTGGGGGATGTGGAAAAAGAATACTGTCCCACGGTGGCAGTAAGAATATAGCGGGTATTTCCTTGCCCCCGCAGATGTCCGCGGAGCACCTCTCGATCAGAGAACAGGAGAAGGGACGATGAGAGTATTGCCCACGCACAGCGCTGTAGCTGTCACCCTGCCCTAAGACCAATACATAGCATATGCAAGGACGCGGCGCAACTTGCGCCACTCGTTGCACCAGACATGTTGGTTTTCTCTGCCCCCTGACGCCATGGGCTGCCCAATGGGTTGCGCCATACACCCTGCGTCACCGAATCATGAGTGGATCCCTT